CAGGAAGGAGGCGAAGGGCAGCAAAGGCCCTGGTAAAGGCTGGTGAATCCACAAATTGTGGATTATTTTGTCACGTGATATATCGGAGCAAATACTATACAGGGGGGTGCGATCGCGGATCGCTTTAGCTACAATATATTCGTCAATATTGCATAAACACCGAAATCGACAAATAAAGAACAAAAATCTATTTTAAAATGAAAAACTCTGTTAAAGTTCTTCCAAAAATATTGAATACATTTGAAATTGTCTTCAAATTAGCTCTGAGAACCTTGGTTGAACTGTAAAGGAGATCTATTAAATATACAAAGCAACAGTGCAAAACGAATGGATCGATAGAAGTATTTATACTATGAATTACTGTCGCAAGGAAATTGCTGCCTCGATTGTGAAACAGATATGTAAAATCACTTTAATTTAATAATATGGACTCTCAATACACCATATCCATGATCATCAAAACATTTAATAGTTATTGTTGCTACAATAGATCTTTCTTGCAAATGTCAATATCATACAGTATATTTAACAGTTAAAGGGAGTACAAGACCCAAAGAATGTCTGAAAAACAAGGAATGTCAACATCGTATGCACTTGGAATTTAAATGCTTATGTTAGCCATATGCCCTGAGTATAACCTGGTTGACCTCCATGGTTAATTAACATTTCCTGAATTTAATTGAGTTGAAATATTTTATTTTATTTTCATTCTTATCCCAAGAACATTGTGAACACACATATACTAGTGCTTTGGGTTTAGATTTCAAAGGCCAAGCTTCAAAACAAATGTTGTGATCTTAATGATCAGGTATTCCCAAACAATTACATGCATGAGGGTCAAATCAGACAGAAAGCCTCCATATGCTTTATCAAGGCTGAATAATATAATGAGAGGGAATTAATTTCCTCATTATACTGTTAACAAGCCCTTGTTTTTGTTTGTAATCAATTACACAAATTACTTTCCAGAACATTATTTTTGGAGATTATTTGACAAGTCAGCAGGTACATTTTTTCCTGAGCCACAATTGGGGCAATTCAGTGTCACTCATCACAACAGGCACTCTAAATCACTCACAACATACAACAGGCAGTTCAGCATTACTCACCACAATTGACTGTTCAATACTGTGTGCCTCAGTAGGCAAATCAATAATCAATATTTTGCTCAGATCGACAACAAATATCAAAATTGAACTCATTCTCAAAACATGATACAATAACAAGGGGTCTCTTATGGACAAATACAAGACACCTGGTGTCAAATGTATCAAGTGACAAGATTATTCATCTCTTTTAATTTAAATACATTTTGCCGCCTTGTAATAAAGTACTATTTGTTGTTTATGACCATCAGTTGAGCAATTTAAAACATTCGCAGTGTATGCTTTATCAGACCTAGAGATACTTGGCTTCACCTCGTATCTTTATACCTGATAAAACTATAGTACATAAAATAATAACTATGATATTTAGCCTGCCTGATATTATTATTAATGTATGAAGGATATTATACATATATTCTTGATGCTCAACATTACCCGATAATCATTTAACATGAAATTATTGACTGCTATTGTGAATTCCTGAATTACTTATTGTTACAGACTGTACTGACCTCTTGCAATTATGGTTATTAACCAAAATCTGACAATGTCTTTAGTTAACCCATTGAGCTGCAATGTGCCCCAGTGTGCCCTACTTACTGAAATTGACTGATTTGTGGTTTATGGGTTTTTTTGTGGCAATTCTTTGGGCATCACAAGTGCATTTGTATATCATACACTGTGAGAAACTGAGAATACAAGTATTAGTATTTAAATGACACAATATGATGTAAGTTACCTTTCAGGTATATAATTTGTATACAGCATCATTGGTGTAACTTAACTTTTTTGACCACTTGCCCTCAGGGCAAGTTGGACATGAAAATTGGTTGCCCTGAATAAAATCCACTTGCCATCAGGCAATGGGGTACCTACGCGGGCCAGTATAAATTAGGGAGACAACATATCCACTCATTGGACTAGTGGCATTGGCTATGTTACTGCCTCAGATCTAGACTACATCAGATCTAGCTTTGGCTCACATATTAAATTATGAATATTATGAATCAAGTACACTTATTTAATGTAACACTAATCACCATTATTTTATTTTTTATTTATTATTTTTTTATTAGTTTTACAATAAGAAATTGAGGGCACAGACAACAGGACTAATAAAGTCCCAAATTAAGTCCTGCCATAAATTAAGTCCTGCCATATTTCGTTATCATATCATGAATAAACATTTAATAACAAAAAGAGAATCAATGCATAATATAATCAAACAATTTAGATGAATTTGATGCAGATGATTTGCCAGCTTGAACCAATGTCATCGAACAGCCTTTATTCTATCCGACAATAATAATATAAACTGAAAGCTGGCCAGCTTTTTGTGGCAAAGCAACTTGCCTGTTCGGTCAACCAAGAGGAAACTTTTACTTGCCCGTCATGATATTCACTTGCTCCGGGCAAGTGTTAAGTTACACCTCTGAGCATAGTAGTTGCCATTTGGCAGCTGTTGGTCTGGTTGAAGTGCTCAGATAATTTGGGGAGACCCATGGCATGCTCTCTCAACAGTGAAGGTTCAAAAACACACATGCCGGAATGCTTATAGAATACCTCGCCATTTTTCCGCATTCATTGACACATAAATAAGTACAAGAATCACATCAAAATAGTTTAAGGGTAAAGTTTAGAGATTAAATCATATGAGTATGTTAGTTTGGTTCAAATTTGACTGGGGGGTTTTGAAGAATGAGGCAATCATATTAGATCAATTTTGAGTAAATTGACAATGTTTACAAGAAATTAATAGTGGTAATTAGGTGTGAAAGTTGTGGGTATTCTATAGTTGTATCAAAAAAGTGAAAAACCAAGCTAAAAGCCCCAAGAATACCGGATTGCCACAATGTCAAAGAGCATAGTTGCTGACTAATATCTATATCTATCTTGTGATATTGCTTTTGTATTATACAATATACTGTACACTTGCTGTTAACATATTATATTATTAATATTCATGGTTGTCAAATATCATAAAATCAACACACAAAATTCACACACAAAGGTTTAAAATAATGTATATTGGTATAAACGTTTAATAAAAATGCATACATACGTAAACCATGGTCGGCATGGAATTTTGTCACTTGGCACAGTACTTTAATGTTTTTTAATGTTTGTCCCAGTATCCCACATTAAAATATATTGAGTCAATGACAGTGCAACTGTTCATATTAAAACGTTCTAATCACATTTTACATGCACAATTGTATTCAGTAGTAATCTTTTCATAAAGGTACATCAAAGTCCCAAATCAAATTCTTCACTGACAGTATGTTATTGACTCCCAAACGACAAATATTATAAAACACGCTTCCAAGCTGAAAAGAAATATTTACTGTTGTCAGTCAGTGTTTAGACTCTTCTCTTTGAATCTTGATCTTCGACAAGTATTGCTGTTGATTATATTCCATATTTTTTTGAAGAACATCGCAGACTATATATTTATTTCCACTGTCAGTTGAAAAGTTTATCATCATAGTTTCAGTCGCAAAAGCTTCTATCGCCCCTTTGCACGGCCATGTTTGATAAAATCAAAGCGGCCCGCACCCCCGGTTTGAAAAGTTAAATATTCCGAAATATTCAAAATTTAAAGCATCACGTGACCAGCCTTTACCAGGGCCTTTGCTGCTTCGCCTCTTTCCTCAAAAGGCCCTGGGGACGAGGTTGTCTCCTCCGCAGAGGCTTACATGAAGTTTCTAATAAGGGAAAAGTGAGAGCGCAAGGAGTGATGGGAAGAGCTAAATAAAGGAAGCCTCTGCGAGTTAATGCAATCAATATGGCGTCGTATATAATCGTTTGTAGCGAAGTTCGATCAACCATCGGGGGTGTTAAAACATGTTTTCAACTTTCATTTTCAGGCGTACTTGAGTATCCTGGGGTGAATTCAATATCAATATCTTCTTCTGTCCATTTGCATCGAAAAATATTGAGAAATTGCAAACGAATATCAATGGATACGAGCTATCTAATTATAAATATCCTCTTAATTGCAACATTTCTTTATAAAAATGACTCTATTGAACTTCGATACTCAGATTATGAAGATTCATTTCAATTTCTTTCACATTTCCGTCGATTTCAAGTTTAAAAAAAGGTCAAACAACTAGTTTGGTTCAAAAACCATACTTCGTCGCATTATCTGTCAGAGCCTCCCCAACTTCTTTTCAATCTTCCCATCACACCGCGCGTGCTCACTTTTATTCAGGAAACTTCATGTAAGTTATTTGTAAATACTTAAGGAGGCTCTGCGGAGGAGAGAGGGGCATAACTATTTGTCAACAGTCCCAAATCGATGAGTACATATACTATATATGTTATTCAAACTAGTTGACAGAGTGCAGCTTGGTAGTAAGTTAACCCTTTAAGTGGCAATGTGCCCTACTTTATTATTTCACTCTGTCTAATGCCAGACAATTTTACTTGTCAGGGGAGTGTGCTGCCACTCAATGGGTTAATACTAAGGCGTAAAAAAAAATACCTGTGGTTCCCGACGACCCTATTTTTTTTTCAACGCGATTGACTGTGCGACCCTATTTTCTCCAGGTGGTTGCGGGCTGCTCATACAGCGTGCCAAAATGGCGTCTGTTGTCCGCAATAATTATTGAACCAAATTGCCTCAATTCGCCCATAGGAAATACGCACCTCTAGTTAATATTGATGTCGGGACAATACTGCAAATCGCCCAGCAAAAAACCGGCAAAACCATGAAAAAAATATTCAAAAAAAAAATTATTTCCGACCTACCGACCCTAATTTTTTCACGATGTGAAACCGGAACCACAGGTATTTTTTTTACGCCTAATGCAGTCCTCTCAATTTTAGTAATTCCTCATCGGCAAAAAATTTATTGACACCGAGTATGTGCTCACCATTGCTGTTGTTACATTGTTACATGTCATTGTTTGAAAATTGTTTGTAACAATGTCAGAGCATGTGGTAAAATGTGACAATAAGCAGAAAAATAACAAAATTAACAATCTCTCTTAATAAAATTGTAAATACCAAGCTGTTTACAAACGTAGCAGCAATGTTTTTAAGAAGAGTCTATCGATGTTTCAGAGAAGATTGTGCCCACAAAAATCTTTGCTTGCAAAAAATTGTCATGAATGGTTGAGAGGACCACTAATGGTGTAGTGGTAAACTGTACACAAACCTGTTGTTGTTTATTGTTGCAATATTCATTCTCTAAACAATTTGGAAGTGAATCATTCATATTTTTTCAATCTAATAACAAACAATGTTTTCATCAGTGGAACTAATTTTAATCAAGTCGGTCACAATCAAGTTAAGAAGATAGTGCCCACAAAAATCTTTGCCAGCAAGTCATTTAATTTTTGGCTGCATTATCTGCGGCTATTGGATTTGTTTATCAGCACAGTTTGAACATTCTTATATTTTAAATCCAAAAGTTTGTTTCACAGGTTTCAGGATGTCGGCGAGTTTGCAGTGGTCAATAATAAGAAATAACTCTTCATTCCTTGTGAAGAGTTTGGGGAATACTTTTACCAAGGTGTGTTTGAATGTTTAGTGCTAATTTAGAGCTCATTAGTCCTCAGAGCCTGATCAAATCAGGGTTCTAATTAGTGGCTCGCTATTCGCAATTTGCGAATGTAAATTTGCTTTTTGCAAATGCAAAATTCGCTTTTTGCGAACGCAAAATCATCCATTTTGTGAATGACGTTTTGCAACAATGTATTAAGGTTTACATAAAAGATTGATTTTCCCAATCACTTTGAATGTATTTTACTATAGTGGAAGATATGATAGAGTATTTTGCTGACTATTATTGTAATTTTGTACTAAAAAGATGTGTGAAATGAAGAATATGGCTACAATTTCTTCAGAAAATTTACGAAATTCACTATGAAACGACCGTCATTTTGTTTTTTTGCAAGCAGTGTTTCCAATGTTCAAAACTAACGAATCAATTTTTCCTGTCTTATTCGTACCCTGCAAATGAGGCAGATTAATCTAAATAATTTCCCAATTAATCAGTAATGAGGTCTGTGCCAGTGTACAGTAGGTAGCAACGATAATAAGCTATGGATTGAGAGAGAGAATGGGCCATTATAGACTAAATTTTCATGCATTATAGACTGTCTAGACAAGAATTTCATCACAACTTGAAAGAGCATCACAAAATTAGTAATATTCCAAAGTTTTGTTGCGAAATGTTGTAAAATGCGGATAATATATAGCCTTGCGACGTTTGCCGTTCAGTCATTTTGCATTACGCGGGGGAAATTGACAGCCCAATACACTTTGGGGCTGTCAATTTCCCGTTTGTAATACAAAATGACTGAAAAACGGCAAACTTTGCAAGGCTATATTATCCGCATTTTACAACATATCACAACAAAACTTTGGAATATTACTAATTCTGTGATGCTTTTTCAAGCTGTGATGAAATTTTTGCCTAGACTTGTTGAGATCAAAATTTAGTCTATAATGCAAATGGTCCATTGGACTTGGTTCAAATCCATCTCTCAAGGGGGTGAAAATAGTGATGAATGGGAGTGATGAAAAGGCGCAAAAAAAAATATGAGAGAAAAATAAGGAGAGCCAGACTTTGGACATTTGTAAGCGCTGCAAAATTTGTTGTTGGATTTTTCCTACGGAGAGTCATGGCTTGCAAGCTGACAATAACAGGGATAATTTTTCACACCAAGTTTACAAGTAACATTTGAAAAGTTGTGAATGTCCTAAGTCCATCTCCAAGATACGTCAAAACGCTGAAGTTCTGCTCGTATTTTTCAAGTACTTGTATCTCTAAATCTGCAGTTGCTTGTGCATTAAACTCAAATGTTATGATGGCACAGACCTCGTTACTGATTAATAATTTTTCACAGCTCTAGCATGCATATTTCTGCAATTCATAATGTTTCATGTCGATTAGATGGTAGCTAGTTAACCCATTAACCATTAAGATGCATTGCATCCTACTTTATTATTTTTTACTTGTCAAGGGGAGAGCTCTGGCATTCAGTGGGTTAACATCAGAAACTTAAAGTTGAATTTTGTTTGTTAACCATGTATGACTTGTCTAACACCCAGCCTTATTATCTCAAAGCAAGGTCAAATTCATGCTCGATCATGTAGACTGCTAGCCTGCAGGCTAGTAGACTGCAGGTATAAAAAAATTGCAGTTGCCATAGAGTATTTTAATAAAACACAAAACAATGGACACTCTGAAAATCGTAAACATTTTCATTCTTTACGTTTTGGCTATAATTTAAGTCATCTTCAGAAGAATGCCACTATAAGTAGTTGGCTTTTCAAAATACATGGCATTCTTCTGAAGATGACTTAAGTTATAGTCAAAACGTAAAGAATGAAAATGTTTACGATTTTCGGAGTGTTTATTGTTTTCTGTTTTATTAAAATACTATAGACTATAATTTTTGTATATGGTATAACATCTACTGTACTGTAACCTGAATAGAGAAACACACCTTCAAAGGCTGAACAATAGAGCTCACAAAAATCATAGAGAGCTTTAAGTATCATTCATTAAGTTAAGTTAAGGTCAATCTTTTTAGTTCATAACAATACTGAAATTAGCATTTTTCTGTTGCAGGAACCCAACAATCTCGCAGGAAAAAATGCATTCAAGTATAATGGTCTTGTCAACAAAAAGGTATGTGGGATTATGATAATAACTTGAAGATATAGTATATCAATCTTGAATTAATCTTGCATGTTGGGCGGCATGTACTGTAGGTAACAAAGATTGCAATTTGCAGGCTTGGGTGTTTGATGTAACTACATGAAAATAAAAATGAACTTGACATAATATGTGTCTTATTTCCTAACTTGACACTGTCCACGCCAATGGTATTAATGAATTTTTGCTATCTACTTAGGTTTAATTTGCCCATGCCTTGTATCAGGAGAAATTGACAGTATTACCTCACTTCATTTTTGTTTTTCTGTATTTCTTGTATATCTTCATTCGGGTTTTTTACCTATAGTATCTTCAATCTCAATGACTATATTCTGGAATGTGATTTACAAATTTTGATTACACTTTTTTTTACCAAACCTATCTTTCTATAACTTGGCAGTATATCCACTATCTAAGCAGACTTCTATAGGTGCATTGTGTATGTTCTTTGTCGCAAACACCAGCACTTATTATTGTAATACTGCATATCGAAATGTTCATGGTTTAGGCTCCCCAAAGAAAATTGCACAGTTTTTGTTTGATATATCTTATGCATGGTTTCGAATCAAAACTCAGGGGTTCTATGTCAGCTTTAGTACAGATAGGAAACCTGGGACTCAGTGTAGATTGTTGTGGATACTTGACAACCTGTAAAATAAGTATTGTCAATTGAGTTTGTAGGACAGCACAGCTAAACAGTATTCACATATGATGTAATCATAGTGATTATACTACATCATCTGTAGTATTCACATATGATGTAATCAAGTATTGATGTAATGTTGTAAACTATAGGTTGTTGGTGTTGAGCCCAGTCCTGATGGTAAAGGTGTGTTGCTTGTAACCAAGAAAAAACGAGGTAAGATATATTTGATGTTACAATTACTTTATACAGTATGATGAAAAAGATTTGGAAGTACTGTAGACTCTGTGCATAAATCTGTGTGTTTGAGTGGCGAGAATGAATATGTGCACATATGACTATGTCTATGAATCTTGGGAGCAAGGGCATAGAAAACTCGTCAGT